GCAACCATGAGAAGAAGAAAAAATTTACGGTATAAGTAGATAGGAGAAGTGCAGCTTGCCGGTTGACGTAAATTTAACGATTACTATTAAACATCGTCGATTTTGCATGCTGTTCCGCTATTTTAACGCACGTATGCAGGCGACGTACCTGTTGATTAAACTATACTAAATATATATACATATAAATATATATAAGACTTATCCCTTAACGATTTCTCTGACTTGTATCGACGATACACGAAATGAAAGAAGAAGAAGAAGAAAACGCTCTGCGGTGCGGGCGATAGAGATACATAAAGGACGAATATATATATATACGTGTATATGTCGCGACACACAGTATCCATGTGTATTTGGATAATTAAAAAACAAGAAGAAGAAGAAATGCGATATTTACCAGAGCCAGTTGTTCTATTCCGCGCGAAAGAGCGAGAGTGTACGTCAGGCGGCAAGCTGAACACGCGAGAGGAAAAATGTGTGCGCGTACACGTTGAAACAGAACGATTTTACACTTTCGTGAAACGTTGACATAATCGTATATCTGAATTTGAAAAGAAAGAAAATGAGGGACGTTCGAAGAAGAAATGAGAAATGTTTCTCTTCTTCGAATAAAATCCAGCACGCGGTGTGAAGTATGTATACTTTTTAGGACGCTTTCTGTAATCGCGTTTTACTCTTAAAACACTTCGCCTCTTACCCTAAGTCATACGTGCCTATACGTGAAATGTCGGCGGACATTTTGTCGAACGCAACGAGAAGTCGTTCTTCGGGACGACACACGCGTTGAATTAATACACGTTGCGTACACGTTTCTTGCAATTTCCTAGTTTTCGTTTTCTTTTCTCTGTCGTGGCTTGATTTGAAAGGGGAGGTTTCTTTGGGAAGAAACTTCCATGATCTTGTGCAATGCGATCTAGAGCGAGAAGAAAGAGAAGTGATCGTGGAATGTCGCTTTGCGCGTGTTATTCGAAACTGAGAGAGAAAAGGGACAATTCTCTGTTTCCTCGCGGTCCGATTTTGTACTACGCGCTATCACAGCCGATAAACTGCAATATTTGTCTTTCGTTTGCAGTGTTTTACCAATAGAGAGAGGAAGAAAAATCTGTACAATTATATGTCGATTGTTCTTAAGGTTACTTTTAAATCGTTCGTCGAGATAGAACAATTCGTCCTCTTTCACGTTTTTATTTCCTCTACACGTCTCTGCTTGTGTCTATCGATTTCATCTTTTTTTTTTTGTTTTCTTCGTTTCCCGTTTTTTTTTTTCATAGTTTTTAATTCAATCAAAGAAGAGTCGTATGGTTTAGTTACGACGATCGGTCGATGTTAAAAATCGACGATACATACCGTGACCATTATCAGATCATGGTGCACAATTGTCGTTTATACCGTGCAATGCGAGCCGATGTATGTTTCTGTTGTATAGAGCACATTGCTTCCGCTAGTCCCTTTAAAAAAGAAAGAGTTGAAATAAACGCAAACCTTACGCAAAAAATGCTGATTCACGACGTCTCGTCTATTCGCAACGTTTTTTCTCTTATCGATACGTGGTTGATAAATGTTCGTTCAACAGACGCGACCGAAACCTTTGCTCTGCGCTCTTCTTTTTTTTTTTCTCACCACCGTTCACCGTCGTTGTCAAAGTGGTTGATGCATTGCGAACACGTGTGACTAACTATCGATATAATCCGTCTTTGTACAAGATTTCCTTTACTACTACGTTTTCTCTCGGAGAAAAACAAATTTTACCCCTATTTTTATTACGAACTGCATGGAAAAAAGTTATAGAACTTCTGTCGACCATGTTTCTTATTACTCTCGTGAAATAAAGAAACCATTTTGTCCCAGCGTTGCCTTTCGCAATTCACCGTCTTGCTCTTTTACTGTCCGCCATCTTGTATCATCCTTAAGCGTCACATCTCCGAGGCGTTCAGCTTCTCGCGAAGAATGACGAAGCCCTCCAATACGCTGGACAACGAGTCGTACTCGTCCAGAGCGAGTTCAGCCTTTTCTCCGTAGGAAAGTAACGTTGGAGTTGTGTGAACGTACCCGCCGGAAATGGATTTCGGATTTCCAGCTTTGCCCACGACGTCCACTGCGTGACCAACCCTCACAGGCACCGGTAGACTCTAAATTGCAATTAAGAACGAATTGGAACGTCGAAAACTGTAAAGTTACTTCGCCAAGTTTCTTCTCTTGGTGATTCCTGCGAGGAAGAATTGTAACTACGTGCCTGCAAGTTCTCGTCCAGAGTGACCAGCCATCTTGGTTCCATTGCAAGGGCCAGACAGTACATCAGGTAATGAGATCTTCCCAGGATTAAATTCTGACAGTCGAGAAAGGCGACCATAACCACTAACAATCCAGCCAGAGCTGCTTTGTCCAAAATTTTTGAAGCGTAATGCAAAGGAGATATGGACAACGTGCCCTGCCGTGTGAGTTTTTAGTGAATTAAAGAGTTGTTTAGGAAATTGGAGTAAATTTAACTTTCAATTTGATCGTTACTTTGCCAAGATGAACCAAACCCTGTGAAATTCGAACGAGGAATAAGTGGGAAGGGTTCTTCGCGTGATAACAGGCCAATTGTCTCAACATTGTTGCTAGACGCGCGTTGTTTGTCCCTGCACCAGCTAGACCAAGAGCAAAGATCGCGTTGTTGGCCACGTCGGTGTCGTTGTCGTGACTGTACTTATTCAGAACGTCCAAAACTGACAAATCCGGGTTGGATAGGGAAGATAGCCCTAGTGCTAGAGGCATTGCACGTCTCGCGTATATCGAACCGTATCTTCCAATCTGGGAAACAATTTCTTATGCAAAATTTTCTATGATTTTCTTCGTGTAGGTTCTTAAACGTGGCCAAATTTCATTATCACCTGACCGAAGATCCTGGAGTTCTCCTTTCCCTCTCCCAGACCAACTGCAGCGACGCCTAGAGTGGCTATAGCCTGTGACGAGCCGATTTCTCTGAAGAATTGACGGTAAAATTGAAGAAATACGACGAATAGAACATAAGTCTGGTATTAGAAAGGTATAGTCGGTCGAAGAAATGTAGCAGGGTCGTGGATTAAAGTATTAGATGGCAGCACTGGTTCGTTCGGTAACATCTACTGAGCGGTGCTCAGGTGTTCGCTCGCGGGGCGCCGCACGGGCAAGAAGGGCACTTCGCTTGCCCGCGAGCCGAATCTTGCGCAACGCAATTTTAAACGATCCGATTCGTCAATAATGACAATACGTGTGCCTTATTTCTATGATTGTGTTAGAAAAGGTGGGCTTATGGCCCAATCAGACTGAGCTCTACACGGTGAACAGTTCAAGTTTCAATTAAATCTGAATTGAAGCTAAAACAATTTAGGTTCTGTAGATTCGCTTATCTTAACTTTTAACCAATCTCACAACCTCGCTACATCTCTTCCATAAACCATACTTCGATTCTTCCTGTTTCTCCTTCGACTTCTCCTTCGCCTTGTCCGTCAGTTCGGAAGTTCGAGGACGTTGATCGCAGCAGCTGGTCACAGGACTGTTCACCGGAGTTGCTGGAACACTCTCGCCATCTACTGGTTCCGAACAGATTCGCAACAATTCTTGAACGATTAACACGTCTCCTGTGCCAGCGTACGCGCATACCTGAGGTACAACCACTTCTATTCGAGCGACTAACAAAATTTTGCAAAAATATGTGAACGTAAAAAAAGAAGTTGCCTGTAGCATAGTCTGTGCAGGCAGCTTGTACGTTTCAGGTAAGACCTCGAGTGCGGCTGAAGGAGCGTCTATGACGTCGCGACATCCCATGTAGATCATTCCCAGAGCCAATGGAAGAAATCTATGAAAAATCAGAAATTACAAATTACAAATTCGTTGATCCTAGTCCTATCAAACGTTCTCAACGCGTATTTCTTCCAACCTGGAGTAGGTACTGGACAATTTAGCAGGCGTGAAGTCCAGCAATCTTTGCAGAAGAGTCGAAGAGGCGTCAGCGTTAGCCGAACCAACATTTATCAACCCTATCGCGATCGCTCCTAAAGACACCACCTCCATGGTACCTAAAAAGCATCCATCATCTCGAAACACGTTGTCCCTTATCAACCAACTGTAAACGTACTTGCTTCGTCAGCTAGAACTGCGGTTAATAGCTCCGTGACGTCGGATCTGTTCGAACCGGCATAAGCCAAACCCAGTCCTAAAATGGCACCGATTCTCAGCGTGGCGTTTTCCGAACAGACGTAATCGCTGAGGAGAGCCAACGCTGGATCACATTCGTTGCGGACGCCACAGTTGACCAGGCCTATGGCTAGCAGAGCACCTGCCTTGATCTGATGATCGTTCGTGTACAGATACCTGCGAGGTAAATAGGTAATTATTATATGAATACTTGTTTCGAAATTGTGCTTTCATTACGACAAGAGGCTCGATTCACTTGTCGATCGGCACCAGACCGCCGTCCACGTCCCACATATGGATCAGCCCCAAGGAAGCGGTTGCCGAGAGCATTCCGTGATCCTGTTAAAAAAAAATTTATTGCAAATTTGCTATTTTGAGGTTTAAATTACGTTTAGTGTCAGGTATCGGTAAAAATGTATGTATAGTCGATGGAAACGATGTGGTGAATTAATATTTAAAATTTCTGCGTACAGTCTTTCATCGAAATTACACGATTCACTGTTTCCCTCGATTTTACGACTGTATCGATTTCATTGACTGTACTCGTTATCTTAGATTTTTTAACTTTGCTATGTCAGTTCCTCTGACTATACTCATTAGGTTGGAAGATTGCAGGCTGAGTAATTTTAGTTTACGTATACTTCGGATTCAGTAAGTGTCCCAACACTTCCTTACCTTGTTCTTGTAAACCCAACAGTCTGACGCGTTCGCCATTAGTTTGTCTTGGCCGAATCCAGCGTGAACGAAACCGGAAGCGAAGCTCGCGGCTAAATTGGCTCTCGCCGAATCGTGTTCAGCGCGTCTTAGAGTGTTCGTCTCTAACCAGCTCTTGTAAATGTCGTCTGGATGTTTGGGCTCTAGAATATCGAGCTCTCTCGCGAGTAGATGGAAGTGATTGTTAACGTGGGCGTTGCTTAGAATTACTTCGATGTCTTTAACGTCTTCTCCTTGATAATCCTTTTTCAAAGGATTCTCCTGGTGTTCGTGGACATCGATATTACGAATAGAAGATTTCTACGGAGTGAGACGAACTTACCCTTTGTCTTACGAGTATAAATGCCAATTGTTTTCGTAATAAAGGATCGGGGCAAGTGGTGAGACATTTGTGAACAAGATCTGAGTCTCCCAATTGTAGGGCTACCATTGTAGCTTTGCAGTACTCTTTGAATCGCATGTAGTGGCTGACCACTGTTTGCAATATCTGTCTTCTCTCTGTGTCTTCGCTGGTCGTTAAAAGGGACAAGATAAATTAAAGGAAATTCTTTAAATTACATAGCGTAACCCTTTTGCTTAGTCAGATTTTAATAAGTAACGTGCTTGGCAGATGATAGATGTTCGATCGCGGCTCGAGAATCTTTCGTTTTGGCGTTTTGAAATTTTTGAAGAATTTTAGAATTGGAATTTAAAATTTGTGTTACTAAGTTAAGATGGAAGTGCGCGAAGGACGGAAATTAAGGATTTAATTAAGCTGAAAGTGTGTCAAAAGGAAAAGGCGCCAAGGGCACTGCGCGAGAAAATGTTTAAAACGCCTATAGGCGCCGAGGGCAAAGCGCGGGAAAATTCAAACGTCTATTGGTGCCGCGGGCAATTTTTAAAGCGGTTATAGACGCTAAGGGCACATTCAGAACGCCTATAGGCGCTAATAGCACATTCAGGACTCTTGTAAACACCAAGGGCAAAGCGCGGGCAAATTTAAACCGCCTATAGGCGCCACGGGCAGAGCGCGGGCATTTTTTAAAGCGACTGTAGGGCACATTCAGAACGCCTATAGGCGCTAATAACACTTTCAGGGCTCTTGTAAGCGCGGGCAAATTTAAACCGCCTGTAGGCGCCGCGGGCAATTTTTAAAGCGACTGTAGGGCACATTCAGAACGCCTATAGGCGCCAAGAGCACAGCGCGGGCAATTTTTAAAGAGGCTATGGACGCCAAGGGCAAATTCAAACCGCCCATAGTCTCCAAGAGCACAGCGCAAATTTTCAAATCACCAACAACAGCCAAAGGGTTAATCCCCGTCAAATAATTCACCTATAAGCAGCACAGCTCTCCAGATACCGACCAACTCTCTCGAAATTCGTACTATCCAAATAATCATGCAGAAAATTCAATTGATCGATCTCCAAACACAGATCGCATCCAGGTATCTCTGCATTATGCTTCATGTCGAATTTTATTATACTCTTCACCAAAGGTGTAAGTTCTTTCCTATCGCAACAGAATTTCATTTGAAAAAAAAAAAATTTTCCCATTCCTCAATTTTTACCCCGAAACAATATACCTCAAACGATTCTCATCTTTTACCGGTGCATTCGTCCACTCGTCCACGATTTCTGTTTCTAACTGCCTCACGTATTCGTGACCCCATTCACCGGGGTTCCTCACCTCGCCCTCGAGGCAATATCGAAGACACTCCTTGGTTCCTGGCGCCGCCCCGGCCATCGACAACACGCTCAACACTTCCGCAAACTGACGTTTAACGTCCTTCCGCACGATCTTTTTATGCGCGGTCTTCAAAGTGTCGTACGAGTTCTTCAGGTACTTCAAGGGTTTCGGGACGGAAGTCATCGAGGTGGTAGAGGTTTGCACCAGCAAACGAAGTTGACTTAGCGAGACCAGCATCGCGTTCTCGTCCTTCCCCTCGAATTTTAATCGTTAAAAAAAAAATCAATCGAAATTCTGCGGTACGTTTTAAGGAAATTTCAGAATGAAAAAGACCAAAATTTTCGTTGGAGGAATTGTCCAAAATTCAGGATCTCTTCGTTATGACAATTTTTAGGTTAAGAGAATGACTCATGTGTAGTGATTAAGTGAATCTAATTACTGTCAACACTTCGACCAGCTGGAGCAAATCCTCTTGCAGTCCCGTGTCTTCTTCGGTCTACCAAATATTTCGTTTATTTAAAAAACAGAATAAACCAATAAAAAGTGAAATTTCTAAAAAACCTTTACCATCTCCGACTGTTTCGGTCGTTTAACCGTAGCCATTTTTACGACGTCTATAAATCTTCAACGGACTCCTTTTAACAGAAAACTATTACTATTTAATAACGCAGAAAATTCCGCGAAAATGTCTGCCACGTATTTCACGCAACGTCGTTGGTCCGGCTTTCTTCTTTTTTCGCTCGTCAAATGCCTCACGAGTTTCACACCCCACGTCTGACATAATCAAGCTTACACATACTACCGAAACAGTGAATAGGGAAAGTTGTGCGACAGAAAGAAAACGATATTCCTCTAACTGGTAATACTTCAAAGTTATAATTTATATTTTACCCGTAACAAAAGTAATTTCATAATTACACTACGCAGTGCAATGCGTATCAATATACAACGTATACAGTCGCGGCGGATGACGATCTACATGGATAAAAAATATGTATACTTATGTATGTATATAATAGGTATATAATATATACATATATATTATTATCTGAAGTATCGGCGGTTTAGAATTATACCGAAGAGAAACAGCTCGATTTCCTTTGTACGATTACACATAAATCGTTATCACACTCTCTCGTTGGCTCGTATAAAAACATCGTCATTCTCTATTTTAAATCTACTTGGCTCACAATCGCGTGGAAAATCGTTATCGTCTGATCTGTCTAATTGTGCATCACTTCAAAGGCCCCTCTCGAACAATGCGCGTTTCTTCAATTTATTCTTTCCTTTTTTCTACGAACTCGCTGCTTAAACGGAGGAAAAAAGTAACAAGAAGTAGAAGAATAGACGATACGTTCTCTCATCTGTGATCTCCTTTCCAATTGGATACTCCGTACACCGGGACGATTGAAAAATATTTTGCCCATTTGGGACCATTTTAGACTTTTCCTTTTCTCTTTTCTTCTTGAGTCTCACTGCTCGAAGAAGCCACGAGGAACATCCTGAGGAATTGATCTCACGGAACGACAAGCCAGTTGCTTACCTCGAACTGAGTAAGCGTGGAAGTGGTCGTCGAATGCAAATTCAAATTCAATGTTGCAACAATATTTTTCGTCTCGAACAGAAATTCCGACCTTGATACACCGTCCGAGCCTCGACTTTTCATCCCGATGAATATGCATACCGTCGATCGACCGACTTCGATCGTTCTTAGTTATTAAACAAGTACACACGACCGTATTCGTTGCTCCTTCGTTTTCGCTCGAATTGTTCGTTAGATCGTGATTGAAAATCTCTTCTTCAGCTTCTTCTACGCGTATCGTTCGGTATGTGTGATTATGAAAGTGGGGGCGGCGAGATATTTGGACCACTGGTACATTGAGCGTAGTTGAAAAATATTTGTATCAAATTTTGTTTCGCGAGAAGATCCATGCAACGTGAAACAAGCGATAAATTTTAGATTTTTCACTTGGATCACCGAAGGAAGTTAGAAATTTCATATCTTTTTAATTTTTTACACTTAGATTATTTAGGTAAGTTAGAAATTTCGCACTTTTTCAGATTTTGCACTTAGATCACTTTCATAATCACCGTTTGACACGCACGTTTGTACTAGGATCTTTTTCCATTGCGCCTCGAAGATATGTCACGCTCGAATAAATTACAACGTCGATATGTGTCTCCTCTCAGCGATCAGTGTTACAACGACACGCTTTGGCACATCCTCGAGAACAGACAAACAGTTCACGCGTTAAATGCAAACGAAAGACACACTCGTCGCTTGCCGACAAGAAACCAGGTGAAGACACGAGTCACGCGATGCACGAATCTCGTCGACAATTGAAATCGTCGGAACTCTTTCACACCTTAGGAAAATCGAATCGACCTGTCGATCTTTGGTAACGTAACCGAGTGAGCCGAAGATAAGTACAGCCGTTGCTGGATTCGCTTAACATGAATTATTGACGGTGGAAATCTAAGCGATACTCCTGATGGAACTTGCGTTACGATTTCAAATAGTGAACATTTACACTGGCGTTTTTTTCGAACTTAACACTTAAACGCGAAATGCTGTTTTCTAACACGAAGGATAGAAGACAGCCTGCCTAAGGAAATACTTATAGGAAGGGTGATAATAGTACAATGGTTTCTACGCAACTAAATCGTATATACAGGGATGAAAGAAACAGGAAAACGTGCCATGCACTTCCGCTCGATCCTCAATAATAGTACGAACCTCCTTTCTCTCCATTCCAACAAATCGTGAGAAATAACTGATTTTAATTTCGAAGAATTACAGACTTTCGTTCCCAGAAAACTCCTCGTTCTCCAGTTTCTTTGGCCACAGAAATTGAAATACTACGAAAACTAGCATTTTTCGTCACGATAGAATATTGTAGGGCCGAAAAAAACTTGACGGATTAAAATGAAGAATCGAACTCGAGACCTCCGGAACGGCAGCCCAGACTCCACGCGCATAGCCAAAACGCCTACTTGATCGAGCTTCTGTCGTTGCTCCTTTTGCTCCACGTGGAAGCTCCTATCCCACAATATTGCAAAGTATATCGATGAGAATACAAATACCACGAGAAACTGGAAGAAACGTGAGTTGCCATAAATCTTGTAATTAATCGCGTGTAAAATAGGAATATAATTGTTCACTCGTTATTTCTCTAATCAATCTCTTTAAATCGCCTCTGATCCCGATCAAAGTGAATCCCGGCGGTTTTTCACGATGTCTGGCAAATCGATCGTCTCGAAAAAATTCCAATTGCGTCATTCCCTATTTTTTTCCCCTCTATGTTCGTCTCTGTCCGCCGCGAGCATGCCTCCGGTATGATTGTTGAGCGATAAGAATCGATCGTACACGTGTAATTCGCTCGCCTGTCTCGGTTTTGTACATATACGTATATACACGATTTCACGCGCGGATCTGTAGCGATTTTTCCTTAACAGCGCATTCCTCGATCGATCGAGAAAACGAAAAAGGCGATTGTTTTTCTTTTCTGCGAACGTGGCGGTAACTCGTTCATCGTCGTTTGTGCATGCATACAAAAGGACACATACACGCGTGCACGCGTGTGCATCAAATACGGCCGTTAAATAATTAAATATTATCATACTTTTTGGGGGATTACACGGAGGATCGTGTTACGAGAACGTTACGTACAAAGGAAACGACGCGTACAACGTTCGAACAGCCAAGGCTTGTCAGGAAATAAATACCTTTAGAGACTATTATTAGAGGCACGAAACAGGACAGATTTACAATTATCGAGTCTCGTTCGATGTTTCTTCATCCCTCCCCCCTTCTTTTTGTCAAGTCCATTAATTACACTCTTCAATTTTTTCTACCACAGACGATTAGTGATAAATACGAATAATTGAAACTCGACCAAAACTGAACAATATTCAACCTTTTTTTTTTTGTTCAAATTTTATTACAACTTTCTTACAAAAAGAAAGAGAGAAAAGGATATGTAGAAACAATTCAGAAGCGTGGTGTTCGAATAATTTCTACAAGTTGCTTTTTCACCTTGCTGTTTGGTGTTGAGAAACTTCGTCAAACGAAATATCATCCTATCTGTATATATATACGTAACATCGAACAAAAATCACGTCGAAATCTGTCGCGTTTCCATCTTTACTTCACTGTTAAAATATTAACAATAAAAGTATATATATTGCATCGCAATTCACGCTTCTTATCGTACAATTAAACACGTACACCTAGATTAATCGTGAGCGGTTGTGTCGACCCGACACGTTTCTACGATCCTAAACGAACGAAGAGAAACCAGTGTCCGCACCCGACACGTTCATGAGTCCTTTGATCCCGCGCGTGCGGTGTGTGAGAGAAGAATAAAGGATCCCAGAATCGTGATCCGTGGTCTTTGGCAGTATGAAGAGACGCGTTTTACGTAGAAATGAATAGCTGAGGAGGAAGAACAGTTCCACGATCGATGTTGAGATTTTGGTACGCGAACGAACCGTAATACTGTTTATTTCAATGTTTGCCCGAGCCCTCGAACACGGGCAGCGATGATTTCACGCCGTTCAGCTCGTCTTGGATCTCTTGCACGCTCTTGCCCTTCGTTTCGGGCAGCACGAATATCGTGAACAGCACGCTCAGCAAGCAGAAGATTCCGAACAGCCAGTAGGGCGCGCACGTTGCGACCGATGCCAGATTCGTGGAGAATTTCGTGGTCATGAAGGACATCAACCAGCAGATGCAGACGGTGATACCGGAGGCTTTCGATTTCACGTTCGACGTGAACATCTCGCCCATCACGGTCCACGGCAGAGGACCCCAGCCGACGCTGTACGTCGAGATGAACACGACCAGAGATAATACGGGGAGGAAGGAGATACCGCTGACGTCTGCGTGCGCCGTGTCTTGCAGGTACATGTACAGACCCAACGAGCCCTGAAAATTAGAGAAAAAGAAGGTTAGGTTAATGCCCACTTTGCTTTTAATCCTTTCGTTGCTATTGGCGCCTGTAGGCGTTTTGAAAATTTGTGGTACACTTCTATCTCAATTTCATATTTAATTCGATCGTTTACACGCGTCCTTTTTAATTTAATAAACCGAATTTTAAAATGATACGGTCAAAATAGCGAATCTTATAGCCGTGGTTAAAAATTTGCAATCTGCCACACAGGTTACGTATTAAAATTCGTCGCAGCGGAAGGGTTAATAGTCACTTGCCCGCAATATTGCCCGCGGGCGGGCAAGGGCCACGGTCAAAATAGCGAATCTTATAGCCGCGGTTAAAAATTTGCAATCTGCCACACAGGTTACGTATTAAAATTCGTTGCAGCGGAAGGGTTAATAGTCACTTGCCCGCAATATTGCCCGCGGGCGGGCAAGGGCAACG